TTTCGACATGGAATTTATGTACATATTGCAGAAAGTGGCCAGAAGGTTAATATTTGGGAAAGGACAAGAAAGGATAGAAAATGAGACTGATGATCGGAGGAAAAAGATACGGAAATTCAAGGAATCAGCATGGAAATGTATATATTTTCTCTCTGCGGAAGTTTTTGCACTTGTGGTGACATACAATGAGCCTTGGTTGACAGAAACCAAATACTTTTGGGTAGGGCCCGGTGATCAGGTCTGGCCTGACCAGATGTACAAGTAAGACTTCTTCTATTTGCTTCTTAGCTTCTGTCCTTTGTGTTTTCTTCAGTGTTGCATTTGAAGGGGGGTGGTTGAGGATGAGGTGGTGACTGCTAAAATTTTGAGAAATAAGTGGTAAAGTTTGCAGGCAAGAGTAACTGGTTTGTTTCAGATAGAACATCCTATATATTTTCTGGGAAATAATTGTGGTTCTTGCAGACAGAAGCTACTGGTTTATGGCCTCTTTTTCCATAAATCATAGTAACATTTTCAAAAGCTAGAGCTGATGAATTTTAGTTTAGCTTACATGGTTTTGATATATATCTCTGCCTATCTGAGTGACTCTCTTGTGTAAATTTAGGTCCAAACTGAAGGCACTTTACATGTATAGTGGCGGGTTCTATGCATACTCCATATTTGCGCTAATATTTTGGGAGACAAGACGCTCTGACTTTGGAGTTTCGATGAGTCATCACGTTGCCACTGCGATTCTTATCGCCTTTTCCTATATATCCAGGTGTGTTTCTGTGGAGGTGAGCTTATAGCTTTAAATAAAAGGTAATTTTATTTGCTGAGATTGTGCGGGTATAAGTCTATCTTTTGCAAAAGGACAGAAATTTTCAGGGCATTCAACTTCTTGGAGCCAAACACGATCGAAGCAGGGGGCTTATGTGTTATTAGTTTAAAATTCTTACTGGAAGCAGATGCATGTTAAAAACATTACAGCAACTAGTTTCCCATATCAGATACAGAGAAGTAAAAATCCAAATTCAACGACGATATTGAACGTGTAAAAAAATGTCAGGCACATGGATTTTGTAAATTATGTTCAAATTTTCGTGCTTCTCATGGAGTTATTTGATTTAGGGGATCTTCTAGAATGCAGATTATGGGTTAGTTCTTGTCTTTGTCCATATTTTGATTATTTTGAGATAAAAAGTAGATATAAACTACTTCCCGGGTATTTTGTCTAGTAAGAGTGCAACATATATTGTGTGATTAGGCACGTCATGAGCAGTGCTGTGAAGAGTGTGAGGCGAGGAAAAGCGACAACCCCCTTTTCGCTTAAAGCGAGAAGCGAAGCGCTCTCTTTTTTGAAGTGAAGCTGAATTTTAAAAAAAAATATTAAAATAAATACTGCATAGACAACACATGTAACTGTAACATTGTAAGCAAATGTTCAATATTTCAGTGTAAAAACTAAAGAGTAGCATCAATTAAAGCACAAAATGAGCATCCTATTCTTCTACAAGAT